TAAATAAGCAAGTCATAAAATTAAAAATATATATATTTCCACATAAATATTGTGTAGTTTAAGTCAACTATCAGCAATTTTATTATTTACTCATAAAACATATGCAAAATTATTTAATAAAATTGTAGTACTTTTTATTTTTTAATAATATTTCCTATTTAAACAAATTATAACAATATTTGAAGTATATTTCATCAAAAATTATTGAAAAATGTTAATACTGAGTTTGATAGTTTTTATTTTTTAAATATAATATTGACATTGTTTTTTTTAAATATACGGCATAATGATTTTTACATATCATTAACTGTTACCCTTAAAAATATGTTTATGCTGTACAGTATTAGATGACCATAAAGTACCCCCTAATACAGTAGTGTTATTTTTATCTGCCAGAAAATATGGTTTGCATTAAAATCAACGGCATGATTTTTTCTTAATTCATTGACCCTTATATTATTTAAAACCACAATAACATTTAAGAAATTGCCTTTGTTATTAATGTACGACAACTTAAACTTTTACAAAAATTGAAAAAATTTCATTTTTTGTTTTCTCTATATTTTTTTTTAGAATAGTTTTTTTTATCGGCAATAATACAGAACAATTGTACTTAGCAATATCATGTTAAAAAACAAGATGCCGTACAAAGTCAAATGATTTTACAGCTGTAAAAATCAAATATACAATTAAATTAGGGTAATAATTGATATACATTCAAAAAACAACAATTTTTAAACGGCATTATTTTAATTAATACTTCTGAGTGCTAAAAAATAAACTGAAATTGATGCCGTTGATTTTCAGATCATCCCCCAGACCCGTGGAGAAAGGTGGATTTTAACCCTGGATTTTTCTCCCTTGTTGCATGATTTTTTTCACGGCGTTGCAGAATAATCAATTAGAATAGGTATTAAAATTGTATGAAACAAACGCCGTTCATAATCAAATGATGTAATAGACCCGGGGTTTTGTCAGAAAATCAAAAATTTTTTCCGACTTTGTGGCTTACTATTTTTTAACGGCACTACGTGTTTTCTCATTATTTTCGATGKATCTATAGGTGGTAAGAATGCCGTAAAAAATCATTTGATAAAAAAGCACCCGGTTATTTTGTGCTTTTTAATTCTCACCTGCACTCAGTTGGACAGCTTACAAGTCACGGCATAGTGCTAAAAATTATTATTTTATGCCCTTCTATCGTCCAATACAGGTTTCCTGCGGGATCATATGACCCATCGATTTTTTAGGTCGGGCCTGTAGTCTACAACGCGTAGCGGGGCACCCTTATTTATTATAATAATTAAAATATTTCACACATGATAAGTATTCAAATATTATCGTGAGTCAATGTATATGAAATATATTTCAATTGCATATAATATTTTACTCGTTATCCGATTCCTAATCAGAAATACGTAATACTCATATATTACAAATAATTTAACGCGAATATGTTAATAAATATAATTTATTTTTTTTTTTGAAATAAAAAACACTTCACTACACACATATAAGTAATCCAACGAGAACATATTAATAAAAATAAATAAATTTTATTTTTAAAATAATAAGAAACACGTATTATACCCATATTATAAATTATCCAACGTAAATATATTAATAAAAAAATTTTTTTTTTAATTTTTTTAACTAAACAACAAAGCTCATCCCAAAATGTTATTTGTGTTTATAGTTTAGTCAAATTAGTCAAAATTAGAAAAAAACCCACAGAATTTGAGATACCAAGCCATAAACTTATATAAACTTGTATTTTGACATTCTAAAAGTTGTCTCAAAACCTACATATGGTAGGGTGTACGCGACTATTAAAGTCTAAGGTCAAAGGTAGCAAAAATCGATTTTTTGTACATTTTTTGCAAATATCTCGTTTCCTATGGGTTTTTCGCTATTTGTATTTATTATCAATATTGTAGAGAATTCAATTCCCCACAACTTTTGTTTAGAAAATTTTTTTATACGTTAAATCGTTTTTGAGATAGAGGGCGGAGAGTGCGCGGTCAGAGCATCATTCAAGGTAAACCGGTAGTCCCGGTTAAAGACACGCAATATTAAGTTTATTAATTATTGATAAATACATATTTATAATAATCTTCATTTCTTATTAACTATTACATTATATTTAATAATTATTTTATTTACGTATCTATTTTTAATTAAGTTTAAATTTATTTAATAACACTTACCTTCCCCTATAGTTATAGAATTGTTAAGGAAAATACTTAAATTGAACAACAATTACCAATATTACAATTACAATTAACAAATAAAATGTAAATAATTATTATGATTAAGTAAGAAGTAAATTAGTAATTATTATTAGAATTATTACTATTATTATAATTAATATGTATTATTATGAATAATTTTATTTACAATTAACATTATTCATTATTCATTGAATACAATTGAACATCTGTCCCTACTGGCTAAAATTATACTATACAAAATAATACAATTTTTAACGTTATAAAATAATTTAAGAGTTTACAGATTTTAAAGAAGATGTACTTAATTATTTTCTATTTAAAATGTATTTAGAGTGAAAATTAGGATATAATTAAAATGTAATTAAAGTTTGTTCCTTAATTATTTTTTAATTGTAGGAATCGGTTATAAATGTTATTGAATAGATAGGTATTTAATTAATGAAAAAAATTAATAAATATAATGTAATAGTTATTAATAAATGAAAATTATTAATAATTATGTATTTATCAATAATTAATAAACTTTATATTGCGTGTTTTTGACCGGGACTACCGGTCAACACCTTAATTGATGCTCTAACTGCGCTCTCTCCGCCCTCTATCTTGAAAACGATTCAACGTATAAAAAAATTTTTTAAACAAAAGTTGTGGGGAATTTAATCCTTTACAATATTGATACTGAATACAAATAGCGAAAAACCCATAGGAAACGAGATATTTGCAAAAAATATGCAAAAAATCGATTTTTGTGAGCTTTGACCTTAGATTTTAATATTCACGTACACCCTACCATAGGTAGGTTTTGAGACAACTTCTAAAATGTCAAAATACAAGTTTATACGAATTTATAGCTTGGTATCTCAAATTCCGTGGGTTTTTCGTAATTTGACTGGACTATTAATTATTACACAATGAGCAATAAACGGATACGAACTTTTCAGACAATCAAGTATTATAGTAAAGTGCAACCATTCTGACGTACGAAATAAAAAAGAAAACAAAATCAGAAAAACAACAACATAACCTTAATAAAAAAAAAAAAAAAACATCATCAATAAATTTCCTCAGACGATGATGAGTTACCATTGGACAATGGTGATATTATTGAAAATGAGACGGTGATTAAAGATGGCAGTTCTATGAGTATTCATAATCATCGTCAACGTTCTCAATGTCATTGTCGGCAACAAAGAGAACGACGATACCGACAACAACAACAACAACAACAACAACAACAACAGCACCAAGAACAAGAACAAGAAGAAAAACCAGATCAACGTCTTCTTCGTCATTCGCAAAAAGAGGAAAAAGAAGAAAAGAAAAAAGTGGACGAAGAAGAGGAAGAGGAAGAAGAAGACGAAGAAGGAGGAAGAGGAGGGGGTGTTGGTGGAGGGGGTGGAGGAGAAGAAAGAGAAGAGAAAAGTTTAGAAAAGGAAAAAAAAAAGGTAGAAAGTGGATTAGATTTACATAATATTTTACAATATTCTGCACCAATGGGACAAGAAATGATGGCCGATGATATGGCACAAGGTTACACGCAACTTATTCATCAAGTTCAAGAACCCCAAGAATTTATATCGTTGGAAGAATTTTGTCCTCATATTCATCAGGAAACACGTGCCCACGATTTGTGCGGTCAACATTTTTATCATCAACAACAACAACAACTACAACAACAACAACATTTACAACAAAGAAGGTGTTTTAATATTTCGACTGTTCAAGAGTAAGTTTTCTTATCGATACGTTTTTGTATTATTATAGTTTTCTTTATTATTTTTTCAACATTAATTTTTCTCTTCAAACAAATTGTACCTATATATGTATATATGTGTGTGTGTGTGTAAATGTGTGTATTGTCTTTTATTTTTGTTTAGATTTCCTTTTTTTTCTTTTTTTTTTATGATTTTATTATTAAAATATATACAGTGGGTGTAGAAAGTATACATACACCGATCAATTTCAAATAGAATGTTGTGAAATTGCAGTTTGTTAACTAATTTTTTATAAACAATGAATTTGTACATATTCTTGAGAGTATCTACAATGGATATAATGAAATAACAAAGTAATTGTTTTCAATAAAAAATGCATTTCTCTATGCATTCGTCTCATTCTCTCGAAGCTCTGTTTTTTTGTTTTATTTATGTAGGAGAGTTTTAAGTGTAGAAGAATAAACATTTATAAGCAGATAGGCGACGAAAGAATAAAAGCCAAACGAACCGATAGTCGAAATAAAGAAAGACGGTGTGTGGTCTGCTTTGTAAGTTGTATGTGTAATTCTGTGTGAGTCAGGAAGGTTTTCGAGCGATATCAATGCTTTGTTTATTGCATCGGACCGGGCGTTTGGAAAATTCAAGAACAGTGTGGGGATGGATATAAAGGGACGGGGATTTAGTCAGAGGGTAGTCGTAGTCGCTAGTCGTCATCAGTCGGTATTCAGTTGTAAGAGTGCACTTGTTTATATCTGTTGTTATCGTAAGATTGTGAAGCACTATTGTATCTTTTTCTAATACCTATTTTCAATATATCTTATCAGTAGGATTAAACTGGGTGTATGTTAACCTCGCATCTCTAACCCAAACGAAAATCCTACATTTATGATATACATACCTAGTAACCTCAAAATCAATATTTATTTTTTTATTCTTGAAGTTAAGGAGTGCATGGCAAGTGCATTTAGTATATTATTAGTTMTCGTTAACGGCCATACCGTGATGAAAACACAAGTTCTCGTCCGATCACTTAAGTTAAGCATCACTGGGCACGGTTAGTACTTGGATGGGTGACCGCTTGGGAACACCGTGTGCTGTTAACACGTTTTTTTTCTTTTTTTATTCTATTTTTCTTATTAATGAAAGATCTTATTAATGAATGGTAAAAAAATCATCATCAAAATCAAATTTAATTTAACATTTTTTGATAATATTTTCTTATTCTCTTCTCTGTGTTTACATTATCGTTTATATACAAACTCTTATTACAAATGGCTTATATACTATTACTTTAACAAATATTAAAAGTAAGGAAAAAATAAATAAACAAAATCATTATTACCTATCTCACGAATTTATATTAACAATTAATGATAAAAATAAAGAAATCGGATGAAATGATAACGTACATTTTTAAATATAAATTCTAATTATCAGCGTATTATTTTTATCATTTATAAAATTAAGTCTTAAWTATTGCTAATAATCTTTAGTTGATATTACTTTACTCAAGGACAGTTACCTAACTCCCTATTTATTGGATTAATCCAAATAAAATAAATAAATAAATAAATAAATAAATAAATGAGTAAATAAATAAATAAATAAATAAAAAAGAAAAAAAACAAAAAACGATCGATAGGGAATAATCTCGGAGATCGTTATTTGGAAGTTATGCGAGTTGCGTATACCTAAACGGATAATAGGATAAGTTTACAACGTACAGAGATGCAATGACGAGTATATTCGAATAATTAGTGTAAATTAATCGACCAGGTGTATGTCCCAAAGAGAGAGAGCAGAGCAGAGAGAAATGCATTTTTTATTAAAAAAAAAATTATTTTTTTATTTCATTATATCTATTGTAGAAACTTTCAAGAATATGTACAAATTCATCATTTATAAAAAATTAGTAAACAAACTACAATTTCACAACATTTTATTTCAAATTGATTTGAATGTACGAATACTTGCTACATCCATTGTATATATTTATTCTTAAATTTTATTAATATATATATTTATCGGTTACCATAGAAATATGATTTCATCAGTGGTAGTTGATTGAGAATCCTCGTGCTGTTATTTCGTGCATTAAAGTCTCTCACGTGGTTTAGTCCTTCGATTTGAAACCATTTACTTCTACACGTTTCTTTATTCTCACGTTTAAATGTCTATAAATATATTCGTTTCTAACACAAAATAAAAAAATAAAAGCATTGATTTTTTCTAAGTAACTTTCCACAGCTTACGAATCAGTTATTGTTTAGCAATGAAAACTTTCTCTTAAAAAAAAAAAAAAATAAATATTAAATTAAAAGATCTATTATGAAATTAACATATTGATAGTAGAACTAAAATTTTAAATGCAAAAAAAACTACTAACAAGAGTATTGTTTGTTACGATATCAAAATAATAATTATATAATAAAATAAATCATAAATATAATTTATATTATATTATATGTATAATGCATAAATATTTAAATGTTTATATATATACATATATATCATATAAATATATATTATTTAAATATATAATTATGTAATTAAATATAATAGTAAATAAAATAAAAATAACATATGTGCAGATAACATGTGTTAGAAGTGAAATATTCAAAAAACTAAGTTATGAGAGAATGAGACGAATGCACAGTATCAAGAGAAAGATAATTGTAGGATTTATTTATTATAATATTGCTACCATATATAACAAAGAGCATCTGTATGATCAGTAGGTGGAATAGATGATAAAAACTACACTTTTCTAAATTCAAGCAATAAAAATGAAAACATGGCATCGAAAACTGAACATACACTTGGTAGCTAACATAAACTTATCAACTAATACAACAAACTTACTAACTAAAATATAAAGAATGGATTAAAATAAGCTACGTATTACACTAATGATTGTAATTTTCTCCTGATCTTGCGATGTGAAAATACTAACGAAAAAGTGAAAAAAACGAATCATTTTCTCTTGTTCGAATAATTACTCCACTCCCTCAACAAGAAAACGTACGGCATTTCAAACATCAATGAAACGATGTAAGAACATATGTATGTTACTATAACGAWTCCTAAACCAGTAATTGCCTAAAAAGGAAAACAAAACAATATAATGATATTTCATTAAAAATCATATTAATCTATCAACAAGATGAAACAAGAAAAAATAATACATACGTTTGCTAGATTATCAAAATGBACGGTACTTTTACTTAAAAAGTTAAAAGAAAGTATAAGAAATGGATTTAAAAGATATGCTGAGTAGCTYAATCTGCTCAACGGAATCCAACATTTCCAGCATAGAATACTTTTAACTATACCTACAATATAAAATGATTTAATTAATAACGATTAAAAAGTAATAATATCCAAATAAAAAGAATCGAATTATATTATTATTTATACCTCCATTATYTGTAGAACATGCTATAATTATCCATGAAATACCAATTGACCATACTGTTCGGTTAAGAGCAGTATAAACAGCAGCAGTTAAACCTGATATTCTGTTCGGATATAATCCAAACATTGCCAATATATTGCACAKACTGCCGAGTAACCAAAATAATAATATCGTTTTCTAAAATCAATTATTCATATTAGAGTAAACAATAATATCATCGATAAGTATATTTAATGATAAAAAATTGTTGAAGAAAGAGACGATTAGTATAATTCGCTTACCTTTTTCAAATGTAATGTATTATTTAATTTAAAAACAATATARGCAGTGATCGCACCAACRAAATAAGGTCCTATTCTAGTCAATGGTGAATAGTACACCATTRTTACAAGACGGAATWCTTTGTCCAATCTATAAATCAATAAAACGCTTATTTATTTGATGAAATAACACTTTCATTACAGCKTATTTTGARAAGARTATGATTYWATTAAAATTYGCTTTTGCATATTAATTGCAGAATAGTACAATTGATTCATCGGCTAGTTGTATATACGAGTTATTACACAGTCAACTAATATTTAAGTCGCTAATAATGTAAGTGTTCAATTTTWTTATATGTATAATCATTAATATTGATATYTACGYTGGTTCCCAATCATAAATGTATGCTACAACTCCAGTARCGATTAWCGATGAKGTAAACATMAGACYCAWYAAACCGGCTGCTACTGTGAAGTACCTGAAATAAAATTTGGTTTATTAATGTTATTAAGATTGTCTGAGGTTTTAWATTTTTTTTATACACAAATATGTTAATTACAAAGTAAAGATATTTACATTGAAGATAAAAATAACAGGAAAATTAAAATCATGTAGTATTGCGTGTCGATTGCCAAGTACCAGCTCCAATTCATACACTGGAGAGATTAATATTCATAAGAAATGTTATACCTAATATAATAAATTTTTACTTAAATTATTGAAATTTTTNCTTTGTCCAATCTATAAATCAATAAAACGSTTATTTATTTGATGAAATAACACTTTCATTACAGCKTATTTTGARAAGARTATGATTYWATTAAAATTYGCTTTTGCATATTAATTGCAGAATAGTACAATTGATTCATTGGCTAGTTATATATACGAGTTATTACGTGGTCAACTAATATTTAAGTCGCTAATAATGTAAGTGTTCAATTTTTTTATATGTATAATCATTAATATTGATATYTACGYTGGTTCCCAATCATAAATGTATGCTACAACTCCAGTARCGATTAWCGATGAKGTAAACATMAGACYCAWYAAACCGGCTGCTACTGTGAAGTACCTGAAATAAAATTTGGTTTATTAATGTTATTAAGATTGTCTGAGGTTTTATATTTTTTTTATACACAAATATGTTAATTACAAAGTAAAGATATTTACATTGAAGATAAAAATAACAGGAAAATTAAAATCATGTAGTATTGCGTGTCGATTGCCAAGTACCAGCTCCAATTCATACACTGGAGAGATTAATATTCATAAGAAATGTTATACCTAATATAATAAATTTTTACTTAAATTATTGAAATTTTT